TCTCCAGTTAGCAAATTATTTTTATTTTTGTAGGTACAATGTTCAGTGGTATAAAACTCCTTTACCTATACAGAAAATGATATTATTCTTACTGCAAAGAGGAACCAAGGAATTTATGTTAAGTGTCGGCGGACTATTTGATGCATCCATGGAATGTTTTGCTGCGGTAATATAACGTATAATTTTTTGGCAGTACTATATTACACATTGATTTAATAAAATAGAATGTTTATAATTGCAGCTAGTAAAGGCCTCATTATCTTATTTCACTGTCATACAGTCTGCACGGTAATGAAGTAAATACAAATTTAATAATACCATAATGAAGATGTGACTAGACAAGTTTATGCTTATTTACATTAGTATTTTCGTTTAGATTTTAGATAATATAGACATATTTTTTGTGTATGTAAGGTAGTTAGATGTTTTGTTGCTACAAACAACGATTGATGTTATTTAAATCAAAATATTTGCATTTTAGTCGATTAGACGAGTCGATTAAAATTCTTAATTGTTATTAATTTTCTGACGAAATGTTTTTTATTCGGCGAAATATTTGTATTTCAGGTTTTTGCAATGTGTCGAAATCACATATTTGTGCTATACATAAATTACTAGCTGTAATTTATGTATAGACAGTGTGTAAACATTTAAATATTTATTATTTGTCTTTAACTAATTTTCTCACGCGCAATTTGTTATGCGTTGAACATTATATTTACATAATTTCATTGTACTTATACAGAAAAAAACGAAGTATCAAATAAAACTCATATACGTATATATATTACGAGAAATGTTGTTATGTTATCTTGAGAAATAACGTTGAAGACCGGCCCTTAACGTTTTTTTCCCAGCAACATTGAGAATTAACGTTAAACCGCTGCGGTCTCTATTATCACTCTTCTCTCGTAAAAATGCAAGTGTCGAGCTAGCGATAAATTGGGTAATTCAAAATGCTATATATGCCAGTTTGAGCTTTAACACCAAATAATGTTGAAAATAAAGATTTTATGTAAGTAAAAATAGTTTATATATTTTTTTAATGTCGACATTGCCCAATAAGCGTTGGTCAGTAACGAGAATGTGCGGGCATGTGTGACAATGTGGTAAATATCGTCCAAATTCACAACTCTCAAATAAAATTGGGAATTAACGTTATAGTTTGGCTAATAACGTTGTCGCCCATGAGATTGTTATCTCGTAAATTAACGTTAATGCCTGATTAACAACAGTTCCCGTAACATATATACGTAGCAATCTATAATCTTCTTATAAGAATTTCAACTTTTTATTTCAACTTCTTTTTCTCAATTTGTTGAACTATATATAAAACTTCGTTTAACTATGTTAAATGACTTCATTCATGCAAGTTTCTTTTGTTTAACGCAATATAATCTCATTTATGACCGTTAGATTTGGCATCGAATAGATTAAAGGTAAGAGACATCCCACTCGAGAACGAAGTGTATTTTATGAGTGCGCGCACAAGACTGAAGCTTCGGCGCTAAGAAAGAAGAAATGCGCCTGCGTGGTTTTTCTAAGTAGTTCAATTTCATGAGAAAGATACATCTGTCAAATTACCTTCAGCGTCGCATAATCGATCGCATAAATATTAATGAGAAATTGGTTGAATTTAGCAATTTGATCTTATGGCAAAATTTTACAGAAATAGGCGTTATAAATTACAAAATTTGCATTTACATTTAGAAGATAAAAGATATGGCATTTTTAGTCGTCCAATAGAAAGAAGAGGATAATTGCGTTCGTCTTCTATCTTCTCAGTAATATTTCGGACCTTATAGAGAGATGACACGTCTACCAGCTCAATATTGCAGTATCAATAGAATCCTATTACTCATTCTCGGCTTATGGCCTTACCAACAATCTAAATTTACTCGATTTCAGTTCATTTTCTTCTATGCTATTCTGTCAGGGGGTATCATATTTCAGGTAAAGCTAAAATATAGTAGAACATTATAATAGAATAAATTACCATGTTTTAATTATTCAATAGCACTGACGCCACTGACAATTATGCAATTTGATTTCTGTATCAAATATATGGTATCAATCGTTACTATTGATTATATGTACATATGAAATTAAACTATTTATTTATAGCTAACACCGTTAATAACATTAACATGTACTTCGGACCTTATTATCAAGGTGCTGTCTTCCGTAACTTTCTTTGCAATATTCATAATAAAGTATAACGCATTCTGTCTTAACATTGGAGCTGTAAGTTAATGGCTTACAGAGTA